GTGACCAGGAGGGTGGGTGTTTGGAGTTTGGGTTTTTTCCGAGCAATAAGTTTTGGGTTTAGAGTAGGAGATTAAAGAGCAGGGGAAGCTGTCAGTGTGCGTGTCAGTCTGCACGGAGCTTTGGCACCCTGATCTCTTGGCGTGGCACCGACCTGACCACGGAGCACAGCTCAGTGCCTCTCTGCCCCACGCAGCATGGTGGGGAGAGATTACCTGAGACATGTTGAGCCATACTCATCCTTTACATGGGGGAATGTGAGAAGTCTGTCATGTAAAATAAGTGCTCTTCGAGATGTTTGAAGAGGCAGCTTCCTTGGCTGATCAGTCACGGGGGAATGTTTTGACAAATCTCATATTTTGACAATTACGTGCTTCATGGATGTTGCTACAGCCTGTTCAGAATTTTAGTGTTTCTCATAGATTATGCTGCATGTGTCAGGCTAGTACTTATTTATTTTTGTACACAAATACAACTTTTTGCATTAGAGGTTTTTTTATTCTTTACTTATGGCATAGGTTTATTTATTATCATGCAGCTAGAATTGCCACTGTGATTTCTTAATTTTTAAAATTGAAAGAACTAAAACATGCATATTCTCAAAAGTTACATAAAACTGTTTCCCCCTTAAGTATAATTTTTTAATACAAGTTTTCCTTTAAAAATAAGCTTAAGTATGTTTTTAGGAAGCTGAAACATTAGGGAAACTCATCAGGGTGTCAGGATCTCAACAGTGGCTGCATAAGGTTTTCAGCTTTTAAATGCTTATGGCATTTGCTGTGGAACACTGTAGTCATAGGAGCTCTTAACTATCTATCTATTATCTTGGTGAAAATCATTTTATTGTTAATGAAGTGAGTCAGAGTTCTAAGAGATCTTTCTTCCACAGGCATTGACTCAGATTCCTAAGGAATGAATTTGAAGTTTATTGTGAAACTCACAGTGGCCTTGTGCCAGCTGTCATTTGGACTTATCTGTGACCTCAGTGGTAATTAAGGCCTGGCACTTTTTTTTTCCCCTAAACACTCCCCTTACAGTTCTAAGGTTTGAGCCTTTTCCCATTTTTCTCTGAAAAATCAGTAGTGCTTTATGTCTGGGCTGGGCATTTAATGAACTTTGCTTCCAGAAGCAAGGAGAGCAGTACTTGAAAAAGACTTTAGCAGGCATCTGAATCTGAACAGCCACAGCTGGATCTGTAATATTATAATTCTTGATAACTCCTGGCTACTGACACTGATTTTTTGACGACTTGACAACTGAACTTCAGTTGTTCAAAATAAGTATGGTTCAGATTTGATTCTCATTTTGCCTTTTCCAAAAACCATAAGAAAAGGTCTAATTTGGCATGTTCTCACAATCATCAGTTCAGCTTACCTATAATATAGAAAGGGAGACTTCTGATGTTTTTAAGGCAGATATTTGGTTATAGTAGTCTGCTTTCCTGACCCTGTAAAAGAATGGGTGATTTTACAAGTAAGTGAGCACAAAACTCTGCTTTGTTTCCAAGTCATGCAGCTTGCCAGGGCCACAGTGATTACCTCACCTGCCTCAGGGATTTCCTGGTGGCCTCCAGTACATGGGCGTTACTTTGAGTTGTTCCTGCTTGATCCGATTATGTTCTCTCTCCAGTCTCTTTTGCCTCCACTCTAGATTCTGCAGCACATTAATGTTTGTTTCTGCTTCTTCACATGCTATTTCAGTTGAGAATGTGCTCCATACGTTTTAGGCACTGGTCTGGAGTACACTACATCCTAACATGAAAGTCTGAGGGATCTGTGTGTGTGCTGGGTGTTTGCTGATGGTGGTGCAGAGATTCCCCATGGCACTAGACTGCAAAGCATAAGCTTGCTGCAAAGGGATGATACAAAAATATCTGATGCTTATGTCGAGGAGAATGGAGTTTTCCTTACCACAAACGTCACAGTATGAAGATCAGAAGATAAATCACTTCTGAAACAGTGCCTTACATTCACTCTGTCTCCTTTTCACTGGTGAAGCCATTTTGCTTTTCTTGTTTTAAGTTTTGTCAGATACACCTCAGCCACTCAGTGTTTCCCACTCTTCCTTAAAAAATCTCTTCTCATGCCCAAATTATCAAATCTGTCACACTCACATGAGAATATTGCAAGAAGTTGCCTGAGGCAACGTGTAACCTACTTTGTAAAATGTTGGACTGACAATTCTGTGATTTTATTGAAAAGCCCCAACAACTGTTGTGAAATTCTATGGGCTCAGTAGATCCCACACATCTTTCCAGGACCCCCACCTGCATCCAGTACTTGTGGTAATATGTGTTTTGAAGGAGGCTGAATATGGCAGTAAAGGGCAATGAAGTTAATGTAAGTTAAAATAATTTGTTATATATGTTGAGAGACAAGAGCTGCCCATGTGATAGAGGTGTTTTTTCAAACTTTTCCTGAAGTTTCAGTGTAAGATCTCTTGAGGAGCACAAGATGCCCCTTTCAAAAGAGGTGATCTGATGCTTTGAGTGAACATACTTGCTCACATCAGTTGCCCAAATACAGCATTTTAGATGCACATCTGCTGCTCAGAGTATTGGAAGAAATTCTTATTATGTTGCCCTGTACCAGGATGACTGGCACAGTATGTACTAAATAATTAATCCTCACAGTAATTGCCAGCCAGCAGAACTAAGCTGCATTAGGTGTACTGCTGGTTTTCCTGTTTTGGCAGCTCTGTGCCGGTTTTTTCATATCCAGTGTGAGTTCATCTCTGAAGTGTCCGTGATTTCTAGAAAGATAAACTGGGGAAGATGGTTGTCTTTGTAATACTTAGGGAACCTTAGAGCATAAGAAACAAACAGAAGGTTAACAAATGTGTGCTGTGAGAGACAGAGTAGCAGGATAACAAAATTATCTTGCATCTAATGGATAAAAAAGCAGACACAACAGAAATAGTGGTGTTTTCTCACCCCACAATTCAGATACATGCACATTGGGAAAACCCCCTGAGTTTTATGTTGAAAAGAGTGTGGGGATTGACTTGGTGCTGCACAAACCGTCCTTTAACTGGTTTAAAGACACTGGTGCAGTGTCTTTGAGATGTACGCCACATTACCCTGTCCTTAACATTATGTCTTCCTGTGCCTCTGGCCACCAGCCTGCGCTGTGAATCAGTTCTGGCTGGGGATTCTGCTCTCTGAAGAAAAGTGGAAAGTGACATGTCCTGGGTGGTGGGGCAGGCAGCCCTCTGACAGGGTCTTGTCATAAAGAAAATCTGCCTACTTTAAACAGAAAGAGTTTAGCACTCAGTTTGATATAGTTCTTTGAATAACAAATAACAAGTGGATTAAAAATTAAAGATTTTTATGTTTCTCATATTTCAAGCATTTATCCTAATCAAATCTTGATATCAAGATATCAAGAGATATCAGAGATATCAATTATTTATACGACTTCCCTTTTCTTTGTTTTTACCAGAGATGTGGTAGGAGAACCCCTGTTCTTTTTTCTTTGTTCAGCTTAGCAGAGCTTCAGTATTATCAGAGAAACATTTTTTAGTTATTTTTTTTCATTATTTGCTTGCAGGATTAAAAAAAAAAGTAACTAAAATTAAAATGATACATACACTATTTTGTGTATGTGTGTGAGGGTGTCAAGCTTATGTATATGTATTAGGGTGTTGGATTATAACTTGTCTGTGTATGTAGAGTCCCTGTAAGCGTTTTGGAAAATATGTGTTGTAATTCCTCATGGAACAGTCTTCTAGATGACTTGTTCTGGCTAGTCTTCAGCACAAGTGTAAATATGTTCTGATGCTACTCTCAATTAAAATGATGGTGTTTGTGAAAACAGATTGCAGGGTAGTTTAATGTTTAAAAATTGGAGTAAGAAAACTTGAACTAAAAAGCATTTATGAAACTAATCTTAGCTATGGAGACTGTTATTTATGCAACAGCATGAATCTCAAAATTCCCCCAAAAGTGTGGCAAACTGAGTTGTTGTATTAAGTAGAAGATCTGGGTGGATTCTTTCTGCCCTCATCACACACATATGTTGGCAGAGTGTGTCTCATAGATCTCATATTGGAAGTACAACTCATCTCTGGCAGAGATGAGGAAGAAGAAAATTTATGATGGTGTATTTTATCCTAAGCTTAGGAATTTTCTGATCTGGTGGTTCAACAGGAACACCAGGGAGCTGACATTAAACTGTAGCTGGAAAGCCTTCAACCTCTGCCCTTGCAAGTTAAAAATCTCAAATTCTGAAAAATTGGGTCCTTTGTGTCACATTCAAAGAGCAGCTGGTTGAAATTGCTTAAGACATTTCAGATAAAGTTATATTTAAGCTAGTGGTAAGAATCAAGAAGCTGGCCTGTGGACAGATATCTCCAGGTTTGTTGTGCCTGTCAGTAAAGGTGGATCTTCCAGCCGTCTGTCTTGTCATTGCAGCCTCTCACTAGATCAACCCAATGCCATAGTTCTTTGGTATGGTGTGTAAGGTGGATGTGTGAGTCATTGGGAAAGCTCAGTAAGAAACCTGAGGTGACAATATATGGTGTTAATTGGTAGATGGTATGCTTTGATTAGCAAGTGTATTACTTTCAGTGTGACTGCAGTGAACGTGCTTGCTGCTGATACCTGTTGTGTATTTTTTTACAATTCATTGAATCTAGCTACTGTTGTCAAATGGTCCTTATTTAGGTCCAAGTAGGAGAGTATCTGATATTGTTTAAGTTGTCAGTTACTGATTTTTTTTCATTGCTACATGCATTCATTACCTGCAACTTAATACTGTCCTTCTTTCAATAAAAGTGATATAAAGTGCGGTGAAACTGTGCAAGTGCAGGCTCAGATGTGAATTTTGTCTATTACAATTAATTTTCATTTGTAAATTTGTTGTGAAAGTGAAGAAATTAAAAAAAGCAATTCTGAGGTATAGCTGAGGCTTATCTGTATTTTAAAAGATATGTATTAATATGAATATGAATTCTCAGGTATAAACAGGGATCATGTATTTATTTTTTGCATTTATCTGTGCAGGTTCGAAAGCATGTGAACGACCTATATGAAGACCTAAGAGATGGACATAACTTAATCTCACTTCTAGAAGTCCTTTCTGGAGACACCTTGGTAAGCTTTTAGATCATAATACAGTGGTTTCAGATTGTTAATTATGCATTTTCTCTGTATTGTGTATTGCGTGCTGTAGATTTCTTTGATATTTTCTGTAATCTGTGACCTGATACCAAGACACAATATTTCAGTTGGTAAATATGCTGGTGTGAATTCTGTGGGGGAGTGCAGTCTGTTCTCTTCATTTCTTGTGGTTAGTGAGACTTCTTTCTTAATAGGGTAATGCACTATTTCTTCTGTTCTTTTCTTTCTGATTTTTGTTTTAACAAGTATTGGATGCTTAATATCTTCTTGCATTTAAGGGAGTAACTTACAAATAACAAGGATCAAATGTCCCTGAAATTGTCTAACACACTCCTCAGGTGCCATTTCCTTTCTTTGTGAGCATTACTTCCCTTGCTTGGTATTTGTTCTCTTCATTATGTTCTTCTTTTCATGCTCTTCTTTTCATTTGTGGTCTGTCTTGTGTTTTTGCTGTCCTGTCTCCTGTCTGTTGTATTCATTAGCCAAGAGAGCGAGATTTTTTGAAGACCTTACGGTTGGTGAGTTCAACAGAAGCATGCGCAAATGAACAGCATGAGGATGTGGAGGATGAGGATAAGGGGGTAGGTGCCGACCCCCGTAACTGTACTAATGTAGTGTTTGAAGTGTGGTGTCTGCTAATGTAAACTCTTAGCTTGGTGTGCTGCAGTAGTGGGCTGTAGAAAGGACGAAAGAACTTCTGTTGATAAACCAGGATACATGTGTTTATGGTTGGAGGCATGGTAAAGACAAATTTTTATTCAGAACAGCTAAAATGCAAACGCTCAAGATTTCTATTTGTTTTCTTTGATTAAACTGTACAAAACCATGGCACAAATGTATACTGGATAACACCATCAAGAAGGTATAAAATAATTTTTTAAAATGGTAGGGAAATACCATAATTCTATTAAACTGACTTTTTTTTTTTTTAAACTTGCAAACAGTATTGTCCATATACAAGTAATTTAGACAAAGACTTCATCTTAGGGAAATCAATGGTAAAAATTTGATTTGTCATAATTAGAAACAGCAGTTTACTATGTGCATGGTGTGTGTGCCGTAATATTGGATAATATCTTGAAATAAGGTAATTCAGTGTGTAGATCTGTTTGTTAGAATTTACCATATGTAGTAGTGATTTTTATCAAAGCAGGTAGATTAGAAGATAAGCAACAGATTTGTGTTGTGGCTACTAAAACTACAGATAGTTTGCAGGGTTTATCTTTTTTGCAACAAATGCTGAGTTATCTATTCTCTATATTTTGCCCATCCAGAAGGGAAATATCTACTCATGAAGTGTAAAATGTAGGGTGCTTGTTAGTCCAAGTGAGCTGTTTCATGCCTTTTTAGACCTTGCACTTTGGCATTTGCTAAAGCAACTTGCTGTCATAGGGCCCGAGTGCCTCCCTGGCCCCTGTGTGTTGTGCTGCAGTTGTGATTTCAGTGGAATTTGTGTGCCTTTTTTTCTGGAGTGCAGCATAAATGAAAATGCTGCATTGTTTTATAAAAAAATATTTCCCCTCTGAGATGCTAACTGTGTATTTTGGGATTTACTATGCCTTCCTTATTGTGGAAAACCAAGTTCCAGGTCTGCAGTCCTTCATTCCATCCATGGAAGCTACTCGACAGCAAGGGCTGTAATGCTTGACCCTGAGTTATTGGTGTGAGAAACAGGGGGCTATATAGAAGATTCTGTAATGGAAATTAAATTTTTTTTTGTTTCAGTTTATGCTTCTTATTCAACTTCATTTTCCTATGTTTCTTTTTGGCAAGCATCTGATACTCCATAGGGGGAAAAGAAAGGCAGTTGAGGAAGGCTTGAGCTTATCTGTGTGTTTCACAGTGATTGTCTGAGGAAATGCTCATATTCATGGCTGATCCCTAGCAATTATAGTCCGCTTCAGTTTATTGCTGTGAAAGTTTGTGAAAAATCTGAAATAAGGAAGAATAGAAGGACTTGGATATGATGTTGATGGTAGAAATTTAACTGCTTTCCCATGCTGATCTGTGACAGCTAAGTACGCGTTTTCTGTGTGATTCTTCTTGGTGATTTTACACTAACTGCATGCAGTTTTGCCATGTTTCCATTAACACACTGCTCATTTTTATTTTACAGTTTCTTTTTGATAGTTCTGACTTTGCTTTGAGGGGAGTGACTTGTTAGGTTTTTTCATGCTTTAAAGTTTTCTACCCAAGTCAAGAGTTTAAGCTTACACATGAGGACTGTTTATGTTATATTATTATGTTTGGATGAAGGTACTGTCTTTATTAGATGCTTTAAGTAAATATGTATAGCTATCATAATGATTATGCAGTCATGCCATTAAGCCATGAAGTTCCATACAGAGGTAAGCTGGTATGCTTTTCCATTACATTTTACTAGAACAATGTAAAGGTCCATGACATTACTTTTGTTTTGCTTAATATGCTGTCAATATTTTATAATAATGTATTCCAGTTTAGTTTAAGTAGGTAGTAGCCCTCTTGGCCTTAATAGTATTTTACAGGGAACAGGTATCAGCCTGCATGGATCAAAGTTGCCGTTGGGGACCATTGATCTCTCTTGCCATCCACTGTACTAAAACATAACTACAGTTAAAACAAGTAGTTAAAGCACACTTTTCCACCAAAGATACTGACTTCATTAAAGCTGTAGTGCTTCAATTGTTGTACATGGTATATTTAAATCAGGCAGTTCTTTTGTCTGATGAGAAGATCTCACAACTACTGTTTTCCACTTGTAGCCCCGAGAAAAAGGTCGGATGCGTTTTCACAGACTGCAGAACGTCCAAATTGCACTTGACTATTTGAAAAAGCGCCAGGTATGATGAAAATAATTTTAAAAAAAAGGACTAATGAAAATTTTGTCACCTATAGCTAATAAATAAATTTCTCCTGCTTTGTCTGTTGTGCATGTTGTCTAGCAGCTGCTCATGTAGGCTCAGCTTTGTATCATGCTTGAGATGGTTAAGAGAGATGTGGGAAAGGTAGATTTACACCACCCTTCCCTGAGCAATAACAACACATTTCATGTGCTATATGTTATTGAAGAGGAGAAAATTATGGGTGACATCCTTAGGAGCTGCTTGTAGTAAATTTAACTCTTTCATGCTGCCCAGACACTAGCTGGTATGCAGTTTTGTTCACAATCTAATTTTTAGTGCAAAATGCCAATTCAAATATATTAGAATGGTGTATGGGAGTTCCTTGTTTTGATTGTGTTTGTTTTAGGAAAACTTTCTCAAACTTTGATCCTGATTAAAACAAAACTGGTCTTTTTAGACCAATTAGAGACGTGTCAGAACCACCTGGGCACCGTGGAAGATTCAGGCTTGATTTCACTTGTATCTCCTTTTAGCCAGACACTTGAAATCCCCACTGTTGCATTTCTGCTACTGTGAATTTCTTTCCACTTTTCAATATCTTTTAAATGCTTACAGAAGTCTTGATCTCTCCCTTTACAAAATGGCAATTTAAAAAAAAAATCCAAAACATGGGAGGAAAAACTGTTCCTCCCTATCCATCACATCCCAATGAATTGACACTGAAAATCGGCTTTGATTGTTTGATTAAAAAATAAAAATTGTTTTTGCTACTTCAAAGGTTTGAGAGTATATGAGGTGGCAAACCATAAACAGAGACTTAGGTTTGTTATGAAACCAGGTGTTGTTTTGCATTTTGAAATTTCAAACTTACTTTCGGGTCACTGAATGATGTGTGTGCACTGAGAACTAAATCCTCCTTTGCTGAGTTCAAAGCAAACTTTTCCTGTTAACCTAAGGGAGCCACTGAACCAGTACACTACAAAGTAAATGAATGGCTACTTGACGGTCACACTGGCATTTTTATGCAGCAGAACCTCAGGACTTGTGCTGCACTGTGCCTTATTTATGCATGGCAGAGCGTGTGTATTGAAATGCAGGAAGTGTAGAGCTGTGTCATCCTCGCGTTTATGAACGTGCACGTGCTGCTGTTGATAGCGATCTGAGGATTTTTGTGCTCTCTTTAGCCTCACAGCTTTGTGAAGATGGCTGTATTCTAGTATACAAAATGTTTGTAGGGCTTTGGTCTTGGCAAATTGTCAGTGGGGCTTGCAGTTGATTCAACTTTCAGCCCTCTAAGAGGTGTTTCTAAATTGTATTTAGGAGTTAACTGTCTCAGGTTGGCTGTATAACCTCCAAGTACAATGCTTTATTGTGATTGTAGGGCAGAGAGAGCCTATGTATTGATAATTTTGAAGCCTGACTTGAGAAATAAACAAACAACAAACTGTGGAATACCCTGTCTTTCTTGCAGAGTGTGGGTTGGTGCTTTTTTTCCCTCCAAATAGTTACGTCTGCAGATCAAAAGAAGGACATGCCTTTGCTTGTCTATTCGATAACAGGCTATATGTTGAAAAGCATGTGCATGAAACTTTACTGATATAAGCGTAAAATAAAATGTCTTTTAGCTGAGTTGTCTTTAACTGCTATATGGATGCATAATACATAGAGAGAAATTAAATATATTAATAAAATTAAAGAAACGGAATTACAAAACTCACTGTGTATTAGTTTATGGGAGTGTAATAACAGCAACTCTTGTTAAGCCATTGTTTACTTAAATGTGATACTAAATTCCTAGTTTTATCAAGCCAGACTTGTGTTTCAGCAGGCCAGTTCTCCTGCTGCTGAATCCTTGTTTAAGCACAGGAAAGCGTGGGGTGGAAGAACAGCAGTGATAACTTCCCAGTGTCAGCACTGCCCTGGGACTGATACAGCAGCTACGGATCATTGTATTCATGTTATCCTGCCCTGCTCTGTCGTGCCTTCCCCTTTTGACAAAAGCTGAGGCAAAGGGTATTTGGCATGGGGAGCAGATCTACCAGCCTACTGACAGCTGAGGAATTTCCTCATCCCAGTATGAGTGGGAGAGGGCAATTCCTGGCAGGCTGCTTACAGGCAGAATGTAATTCCTTTCTGCTTTTGAGAATTAAAAAGCCCAGCAGAGTAGGCTCAGGAAGTGAGTAGTGCATTCTTTACAGTCATGCCTGTATAATGCAATATGTATTTGTGGCACATTTATTTCAATTTTGCCTCTATCTTCTTTCTGTGATGGCAGGTGAAACTGGTTAACATCAGAAATGATGATATCACAGATGGGAATCCCAAATTGACTTTGGGGTTGATATGGACCATAATTTTGCACTTTCAGGTAAGCCTAATTTTGCTTGACTGTATTTTTTTGGTAAGATTCTTGCATAGTTGTGAGGAATGTCGACTTAGATGGGATTCCATAGATTTTATTTCTTCTTTAATGTGTTTCTGAAGGTTTTGCTGATGTATCTTATTTCATGATATAAACTGAATCTCAAGATTTTATTTGCTAATTTCCTGTCTGTGGGGTCAAAGCAAAATATATTCAGTTTTGAACATCATTAAAGACAGTAACTGATGTATTCCTGCCAGCATTTGGACATATCATTCCTGTTTTATTCTACAGACTTCTTTTGATGAGTATTGAAATATATTGAAAAGTTTTGAATATTTTTTTTCATTCAGGATCTGCTGCTATGAGTATTTAGCAAGCTGTACTCTCAGCCTCTTCGGTAGTTCCTCCCATGTCAGCATTTGTTTCCAGCCCCAGCGATGGTGGCGTGGGTCACACTAGGTGGCACTCTGGTTGTTGTACACTGGAGGGATTGTGTACAGTATAATGCAGCCTTACAGTGTGTGGTGTTAAATTGCTCCTCAAAAGGAGGCTTGCATAATGGCCCTGGCTGCAGATGATGTAATTCAGATGACAGATAATTCCCATTTAGTGACTGCAGCATTGTTAGTGATGAACTCCCTGCTGTGCAAACATTTTAAATGATCAGAAATTTGCAAGATCACACAGAAGAAACATGGTTCACTTATGAGTCTTCCACACTGGATTTATGACTGAAAAAAAATTCTTAAAAAAAACCCAGAAAGGCTTCTAGGACCTATTGTGCCCTTCTGGAAATCCTAATGAGAAGCAAAGACATGAATAGGGCCAGTGGTACCTGGATATAAACAGGGTGCACATCTTAGCCCAGACCAGCACATAGAATAAAGGAGAAACCACTGGCAAGGACCTGGAGCTCCCTCAGCTCCCCTTGTCACATCAGTCTTTGCTCCCACATGGTTATATTGAGAAAAAATGTCTAGATTTAAGTATATTTAAGCATGACCTACAGAATTAGGCTGTGATTGAAAGTTATTCTATTTTAAGAAATAAAGATTATTAACGACTAACGATGGAAGCTGTTAGTGGAAGTTAAACCTTTACTTGATGTGTATTTGTTTCTGAACCTGATTATTAGGATTTTGCAGAATGAAATTGTTAGTTTTTCTCATTAGATGAAGCACAGGATATCTGGCACAATTTTATGTCCTTGTAAAATGTGATGAATGTTAGTGTTACCAGTTGTAAGGAATGGAAAGGAAAACAAATTTATACTGGTGTGGCAAGGATTTTCCCCTGTAGGGTAGTCAGCTCCATATGAAATATGTTGAAGCATTTAAATTGTATCCAAAACACACTTCACTGTGTCCTAACCCAAGTAACTACCAACCAAATGTCTGCAGGTACAATTCAGATCTTGTAGATCTGTCAGGGTGGAATATTTCAGTTGGAAGGGATGTACAGCACTCATCTAGTGGGACTGCCTGACCAATTCAGGGCTGACTGAAAGTTCAAGCGTGTTCCTTAAGGCATTCTCCAAATACATCACTGTCAAACACTGACAGGCTTGGGGCATTGACCACCTGTATAGGAAGCCTGTTCCAATGTCTGACCACCCTCAAGAAAGATAAATGCTTCCTGATGTCAAATCTATACCACCCCAGCACAGTTTTGAAGTATTCCCATGTGTCCAATGATACCTGGGAGAAGAGAATCAGAATGCTTTTGATGGAAGGGGACCTTGAGAATTACCTCATTGCACCCCCCCTGCTCAGGGGAGGGACACCTTCAATTAGACCAGGTTGCTTAGAAACCCCATCCACCCTGGCCTTGAACACTCCCAGGAATGGGGCATCCTAACATTCCCAGGACTGGGGCATCCTAACATCTTCCCTGGAATCTGTTCCATGATCTTCCCAGGCACAGAGGAGAGGCTGACAGGTCGATAGCTCCCCGCATTGTCTTTTCTTCCATTCTATAGATAGGTTCTCTTTTAAAGAGCTCAATGCTCCCTCTAGTTCCCTGTGGAGCAGTGAGGTGACTCTTCAGCCTCCCTTTCTCCATACTAGACAGACTCAAAGTCCTCAGGTGCTCCTTTTAAGACATGCTTTAAGACATCCCTGCCACCAGCTTTGTTGTCCTTTCCTGGACAGATTTAAGGACCTTCATGCCCTTTTAAACTGTGGGGACCAGAACTGCACACAGTTCTCAGGGTGAGGCTGCACCAACACTGAGTACAGTATGGTACAGCCTCTCCCTACTGGCTGTTTGGTGTGGGCTGTGTTTGGTGCCCCCCCAGTATGGGGTTTGCCATCTTGATGGCCTTCTTTTTCAAAATAATATCTTAAAAAATGTGCGAAAGAGGTAATTTTAAGGATGGCTACTGGTGTTTGACCAAATATTAATATTTAGTATTTAGTAAATAAAAAAAATATTTAGCCTCTTTAGTAAATATGTAGTAACTGAAGACCAGGATGTTTAAAAAATATATATTATTTTCACTACTAATGGCTGCAATTTACCTACACTTAATGGAGAAGGGATTTGTAAAATGGTGTAAGACACGCACCATGCTCTAGTCTGTGCTTGCATGACATTTCCTGCTATGCCACTTCCTTTGAAGAATATGGCAATTCAGTGTCTTTGTCACCCACATATGGCCACTTTGGGTTCAGAATGTGAAGTTCAGAAGGATGTACATGTCTTGGGTTAGACAGTACATGCTACAACCCCAGGTTGGTTTTTTTCTTCACTTAGATTAAAAATGAGGGAAAAATCTGAACAGAGAAGCGTACCAGTGGAGTGTTCGCCAAGGGATAAAGCTTTGTGATAATAAGTGTGTTCAATATGCAGTAGTTCAATAGTTAATGGGAAAGTTTTGATTAGATTCAGTTTGAAGTTAAGACACCTAAATCCATGTGCTTATGGGGAGCTATGTTCCTATGCAATTGTCTAAATTGTCCCTTTAATCTGATAATCGGAAGGATTGCGGTTTAGTCTATTATGGTTAGCACAGCCTAGACAGTGAGTCAACTAACAAGCTACTAGAGATTCACTCCACTCAGCTAGACATAAACATCTGTGTTGTTGGAGATTTGTGAGACACCCGTGTGAGCATGAGAAGCATGACATGGGTCTTATGGGAAATGCACTCTCATCTGGGGAGAGACAGATCAGCCAGGATAAACTGCTTCTTAAATGGTGGTAAACATGTTTAGCAGCAGATTTGGGGCCTGGAGGGCTAGGCAATACAGAGGGTGAAGCTGATGGAGTAATTCAGATTGCTCCAAGGAGATGCCTAGAGCCCCTGTGGAGTTACTCACTTGTTCAGCATAGTTGCTGTGTGTGTTCTGAGATGACACTTCATATGCAGTGGGAAGCAGGTTTTCTTAGGTCTTGTGATGTAAATGTTATCTCCATATGGATATCTCAGGTATTTTAAAGTGTCTCAATTGACTTTCTTATCCCTCTGCTCCAGGATGTGAAAGGTTACTGTTGATTGAATTATACAACTAGTATAGGGCTTTTGATTCAGTCTCCTAAAGACAGGTGTCATTTGAGTGATATCTGAGATGACCTAGAGTATGTAGGACATATGTGTGGAGTTCTCTGATGAGACACCAGACATGTGAGAGTCTCATGATCTTCTGGACCTGCAGCTGGAGGCCAGTTGAGGTGTTGCAGGGTATCTCAAAGAGCTCCAGAAGCCCATGTTGAGGAAGCTGAATCCTGCCCTCACTGCCTAAAGTGAACTCTTCAAAACCTAGCCAGTGTGTAAACATGAGTATCTAGACACCTAAGTGGGGGTCTTTTAACCTGAATTATCCCTTAATTTTCCCAGCATTTGAAGAAGTAATTAATTTCTAAGTGAGCATAAGAAGCTGTTTGCTGTGTGATGTTACTGGCTCTGCTACACATCAATTATGTATATTCTAGTAACACTGCAATCTGGGAAGTAGTCAAGATGCCAGAAATTTTTTTTTGGTGTTGATTGTGGCTTATTGTTTTTCTGAGTCATGGTCCTTATCTGGAGGGTATTATTTACTCAAAATAGAAAATCCCTCTGATTATTGGAATGATTTAGGGGAAAGACATGATGAAAAAAATAAAAGATAATACACATTTGAGGATTATGTTTCTCTTGCATCTGAATAACATCTAGAGATGGTTATTTCTTTGTGAATTGGTATGCATAACTAGGTAAATATAAATGTTATTCTAAGTTACAGCACTGACTTCTGCAGCTGCACAAGTATCCATTCTTCTGTGTCCCAAGTAATTACATAAGAGATACTGAAAAGCTGGAATGGGAAATCTGGTGGATTACTAAATTGAGTATGTAAGAAAATAATTTCCTCTGCGGGTATTGAGAAACTCCAGTGCGTGTATGTTACTAGGATTTATGCAAGCTTTCAATGTACGTATTTCGCATGCTTTTAGTAGTAGGTGGCTTAGTTTAAATTCAGTTCCATAATGTAATAGCTGTTATAAGTTATTTTCCTGGCACCTGCAGAACATGCTAAATCAGATTATAGTATTTTGTATAATCATAGGCTGTACTGTATGTATAAATATCCAAATTAATACTTTAATGGACTTCTTCAACATCCAGTACATTTTCACTGACAACATTGGAGATGAGCAACTATAAATGAAAGCAGCATTTGTCTTCATAAAGTCATCACAATTTTAGTAAGATTTAAATTCTGTGAAAACTGGTGATAATTTCTTTTCAAACTACTGCAGGCATTCTTTAAAAAACATTAAATGTTTAAAAGCACTTGCAGTTGGTTGAAAAAAGTATGTTGAAGTAAAGAAAAACTTTAAACTTCCATCTAGCTAAAAGTAGACCTTTGTGAGCTCGGACCTTAAAAATTTCAGAAAGTTCTAAGTAATGACTCAATAGACTTCTTCTATTTCAGTTTTTAATTTTTCAGCTCAGGAACTGACATTAAACACTCTTCCTTCCACTCTCCTCTGCTCTTTGCTGTCAGACCTCTGCAGGA